TTGGGAAAGAGGTTGGATAAATACTCCCCAACCGACCAAGTTGAATGAGAGATATCTGTGTGTGTGTGTAAATTATGTACACAGACTTTCTGGAAAGGGATTTAAAACATAACCCTATAATTAGTACTTTTAGTAGAGAGACCTAGGGGTAAGCAGAGGAAAAGAGACCCAACTTTTGATTGTCTTTAATTTTTGGCAATTTTAAATTATGTACATGTATGACTCTTATTAAATGGAAGAAAATATAGTTTTCTAAAACTCCCTCATGGCAGGAGAGATGCAATTTTACAAAAAGGTTAATCACCAGTTTTCTCTAATCAACTGGCTGACAGGCTTTGGATACCCCTGAGACTTAAGGAAGAGAGCTGTGGAGCCTCAAAGGGCAGGGCCATGAAGGGGGTTTCTGGAAGACCTCTTCCCTGTGTGGGGCCAGCTACACAGGCTTTAGGAGAGGGACCTCAGGAATCCAGTGTGAACTATGTCCCATAATCCCTCTCAACTACTTGCTCCTGCCCCTCAGCTAGCCCAAGACTTCAGAAAATTTTAATTCATCCTATCTTGGTATCTTTTTAACAATGTTACATACAGGTCAAGCTTTAAGTACGTCTCAGTCTCAGTCTTGTGTATCAAAAATAAATCCCCTTGAATGAAATAACTGATGGAGACTTAAGAGTAGAAAATTTAAACTGGAAGTTTCACAAGGTCAAAAATCAGAGGTGAGGGCTATCAGTTGTTGTAGAAAAATAACCCAACCCAGCTCCAAAGCAATACATTCCACAAAGTGAAAGGGGGAAAAACCCCACAAAGAAAGAAATCCCATCAGAGAACAATGCACAAGAACACCCTGTGCTCTGGCAAAGACCAGCACTTGCCCTTTAAGGTGCGCCCACTGGTGCTTATGCAGCCTTCAGTTTTTCTTGAACTTGACATGTGCTGCTGAGTGGAGACCCAGCCAAATTCATTCTCTGAGGGACTAAGAACCCCAACATCATCCTCTTGGAAGAGGGAGATTTCTCATAATTCTTTGCCTAATGAAAATGTACCTTGGGCAAGGAATATCTTTGTAATATGAATCTTTTGGATTAGAAGCACTACCTCCACCCCAAGTTAAAAATTAGCCTCAAATTTGTGGAAATTACTTCCAGGTTATGTGTTGACTCTTGTCTCTATCACAGATATTGAGAATGGGAACCCAGGTAAGAACCCACCTCTCAGGAGGCTGATGCCAATTTCAAGAAGCTTCTCACCAACAAATGGGAGTCGGTAGGAGTTAGCACTGGGAAAACTGTGTCCCCTCTTTCCTTAGAGCTGTTTCCTTAGACTAGGACTGTTAGTGTGCAGATTGAGGGGTGTCCTGGGACCCTCAAACTTGTATACTCTAAAGGGATTCTGCTATCTATCTAATAAAGATAAAGCATACTTAGTGTGAAAGAACTTTTAGATTAGCATGCATAGAGAGGGAAGAAGAAAAAGGATAGAGGTTCCCAATGAAACCCCCAAAGTTACCCATCCCCTCGTAGATAAATGCCCAGCCAGAGTTTATCCAAAGTGGGACAGCTGAGGCCAAAAGCTTGCCACAAGCCTAAGGCACCTTTTGTATTAGATGGGGGCTGGGGTGAAGTTCGAGGGGTGGGGAGGGAGAGGTTATAGGAAATCAAAAGGAGCCAGCAAGTTGGGTTAGAAGGAGCAAAATTAAAGTACAAATCAAAATAAAGGTTGCCATTGTCTCTGCACGTGTCTCACCCATGTGTCTCTACACGTCTGAACTCCATGTGTCTCTTCCAAGTCCCCCAAGTCCCTGGTGCAATTCCAAAGCTGAAAAACAAGCAGGCCCTTTTTCTTCACATCTTTCTGCTTCCTGACTCCCTTTGTTGTCTCCCCCCAGTCTCCTATAGCTGCTTCTGCTTGCTCAGCTCCACCGCTCATTAGGTGGAGCAGGGAACCTGGAACCTCCCCTTTCTGTGGTGACTCCTCTGTTACAGGAGCTGGAAACTCCCAGTCTAACAAGCTTGAGACTTTTCTGCTATGTGGGTTTCCCCAAGGGAAGGGCAAGGTGATAGAGGGCATCGCCAGCCCATCTTTTCTCTTAGGGCCGGATTGTGGCATGGTAAGAACAATCGGGACCTCATTTCCCCTCCACCTCCCATTGCCAGAATAACATACTTCTCAGTATGCAATACACCTTTGAGCCTACTTTTCTCTGTTCCACTGAAAGAAACTTACATGAGCACACAGACCTTTTCTGTAATCAGGCACATAGTGTCTGCCACATAGTATGGTAAGCAGTGTGAACAAGGGCCCCAAGTGGCCTTTCCACCACTCAGCCCTTATCTGACAGAAGACTCTCCTGCCCAGCAATCAGTGCACACACATGTCTTTAGAACAAGTTTTGGGGTACAGCCCCCACTTGATGTGAACTATAGTGGCACACAGGAGACTGAGTATTATATTTCATTCCAATGTCACTCACAATGCCAGAGGGGGAGAATTTACACCATAGAAATATACAAATCTGAAATCCCTCCCCCAGTGCCCTTCCATAGAGAGCTGGTTGTTAAATGTTTGCCAACATATGACTGCCTCCAGTCTTGTGTCTCACATACAAGCTTTAGGATTCAGACAAGTCTCTCTGTCACCCTGAGCTTCAGTTCTCCACAAAATCAATATCCCCTGGTGTCTACCTGATAGGCTTGTCAGGAGGACTGAATAGTGTTTTCAGCACAATGTTTGGCTTCTAGTAAAGCTTCAATCATTTTAGTAGGGTTCCAGTTATCTCTTACTACATAACAACATTTAGTAGCTTAACACACAAAATTTATTTTGCTGTGAATCTGCAATATGGGCAGCATTTAGTGGAGAGGGCACAGCTGGAGAGACTTGAAGTCTGGAGCTGAGATTATCTGAAATCACATTCTCTCACACATCTGACATTTCTTACCGGCTGTCCGGACGTTAGGACAGAAGCTGGGGCTCTGGATGAGACACCTATATGTGCTGCTCCATGTACTCTGGGCTTTCTTACAACAGGGTGGCTGGGTTTCAAGTAAGTGTCCCAAGAAAAAGATCTTTTTCTAATAGAACCATGGAAATCAGTATTTCCATATTTTATTCAGTAGAAGCAGGTTGCTACGATTGGCCTCCTTATTCAAGGAGGAATTAGATTCCCCTTTTTGATGAGAATATGAAAGAATTTGTGGTCATGCTTTTAAGCCATCACAGCTATTACTGTAGTGGCCCTCTAGCTTCTAGTAAGTGAATTACCCTTCTTAGCTGATGAGCAGAGATCCACTGGATTCATTAATGTTTCTCCCCACTCACCACTACCAAGTGAACCCAGGGCCCTCTGCACTGAGGAGTTCAGTAAATGTTACAGAAATTAATTTCCTCTTGTAGCAGCTGGTCCTGGACATTTGTGCTCAGGCCTTTGGATGACAACCCTTTGGTCCCACAGAAACTGAGTGAGGGACCTGGGCAGAACACCTGTGGCATGGGGGTGAGAGGGGGTGGCAGGTATTTTTATAGGTGGTACCATCACCCCAACAGGCTCTGCTCATGATGGGGTTGTGGATGACCATGAGGGTGAACTGATGGCTCAAACATGGTCCTTCAAGAGCCTGCTCTAGTCAGGTGTCAATGTCATGAGCTCATGACAAAAGTGCTTTCTCGGCGTTAGTATATAAGAAAAGGTCTGTGGACTAGACAGACCAGATGACTTAGAAAGCTGCATAAGAAGCCAATTTCTTCTTCTTCAAGAAATGGCTGACAGGATTACAAGCTTTTTCCATAGGAAATAGGAAAAGACAAAGTAGCGAGAAATGTCACTCTTTCTCTGATGGCACATGGCCTCTCAGTTTCTTTGATATCCACAGAACTGGGATCTAATGCCAGAGAAGCATATGCATATTTATGGGTGCTTTGGTAAGGAAATTTTCAGGAAAGACCCAGGAAGGAAAAACCTCATTTTGGTGATGTGGTGAGGAGAACAAGAGGGAGGAGAACAAACACAAGAGTTTGGAGAATAAACTGGGATGGGGGAAGAGGTTTCAGGGAAATGAGGAGGTGAGGATCCACAGGCCCCAGCCCTCCATGGCCCGAGGCCCCAGTCAGCCTCAACTGTCCCTTCTGTATTCCATTATGCCCCAGCTATTCCAGTGGGTTTCTGTCCTCTCTCCGTGGATCTGCCGGGTAGGTCTGAGAAGGGCCAAGGCGGCAGCCAGACTTTCTAATAGCATCAGAACCTCTGCCCTTGCTGGCTGACCAGGGATTCAGGGCCACGTGGACTGCCTGGGGCCACGTGGACTGCCTGTGACCACGGAGTGAGAACATCGGGGCCTCGACCTTATTGGTAAAATGAATGAGTCTCAGAGCCAGCTGGAATATTTCTGAGAAAAACTGCCCTGGGCTCATTTCCCCCAGCAGCAGACCTGAGACAAAGATTTGAGTAGAAGTGTTTTACTTGGAAGACGAGCCCATAAAGACTGGTGGAGAGATGGGAAGGTGGGCAGGGGAGAAAAGGAAGTCAACACATGTGTTGGTGACTGTTTCCCACTGGGACTCTGGCTGCTGTGAGAGACACTCACAGCCCTCTGCCCCAGCCCCTGACAAGTTAAGGGCCACACTCAGAGCCACCAGGCGTGTGCTGGAGGAGCCTGTGAGGTGTGCGCTTGTGGTGAGAGTTGTGAGTGCCAGGCACATGAGTAGGCTCGGCAGGGTCTGCCACACAGACAAGCAATTTTGTTCACATTTCATAAATGTGAGCTCAGGAATAATTTCCACAGAAATCCCATTTACCTTTGTAAAGACTGTCATGGTCTTGAGGGTGCACCACCAGGAAGCTAGCCAATTTGGCTTGTGTTTAGTAAAGAAAATGCCACCTGCAGCTTAACTTGCAACAATACTTTCACATCATTTTCATCTTGTTTCCATTTGTTATAGTTCCACTTTACTTTGCACACAATATGCACCTATTACTTTACCATAAAAAAGGGAGGAAAACTTGCCATTTGCAGCAACCCGGACTGGATTTGAGGGCATTCCTTTTGTATGTGGAATCTAAAAAACAAGCAAACAAAAATCCACATTCATAAACTCACAGATATAAAGAACAGATGGGTGGTTGGGAGAAAGGGGTGGAGAGAGTCAAAAGCTACAAACTTTCAGTTATAAAAATAAGTCCTGAGAGCCCTCCCGAGTGGTGCAGAGGGTTAAAGTGCAGCACTGCAAGCTGGCCAAAGCCACTTCAGTGTAAGTAAGTTTGGTCCCCAGCCCCAGAGGTGATCCAAATGGTGTGGCAGACCTCTCCTGTCTCACCCACTGCTCCCCTCAGCAGTGTACTTCATCAACCTGCCTGTTCTGCTCCCCAGCCTGTCTCTGGTGAATCCTCTCACTGCCCCTGTGCCTCTGGCCTGTACCCCAGTTCTATATAAATAAATAAATCTTAAAAAAAAAAAAAGTCCTGAGCAGGTAATGTTCAAATGTTCATGATGGTGATTATTATTAATAATACTATGAAAATGCCAAGACAGTAGACATTAAAAGCCAGATTGTACACACAAAAAAATTTAATTATATATTGGATGGATATATATGATCTAGAACTATTGTGATTATCTTGTAATTTATACAAATATCAGATCATTATATTGTACACCTGAAATAAATTTATTACATGCTGATTATACCTCAATAAAAAAGAGAGTGTTTGAGAGAATAGTTATCATTGTTAAAATGTAAATATCTGGTTTTATTAAAATGTCCTGGATAAATAGTTGTTGAATATAGGGAAAAAATAAAAATCTTTTGGCTCAACTCTGGGAAGATCATTTGGGCAAGCTAAATTATAGAGTATACTTATGTAAAAAATGAAATATGTAAAAAGAAATGTTTTTCATGTAGATAGGCAGAGCCGTATATAGTGAAATAACTTAACCTAATTAATCCACTAGACTATAAGACAAGATTTTCCAGACTGAAAAAATAATTGAATACGTAATAAATAAACAAACACAGAATTATGTTCCGCATGTAAGATTCCCTATCTTTATGATCACTTCCCAGAATTTAAAACTCTCTTAGGAAAATAAATTTCTGGCCACAGTGGTGTTTTGTTTTGTTGTGTTCTGGAATAATAATAGTAACTGTGCATTATACAATAATCCTATTTTCAGATATTTTATTTCATTGTCTTATAGGCCATAGATCCCCAGTCTTCTACTTTTGGTACAGTGATGGGCCTCTTGAGGTTCTTGCCAAAAAAATAAAAATTTAACTGAAGAAGCAGCTACTTAATAGTAAGAAGAAAAGAGGTACCTAAAGCATAAAAATAGTATTAAATATAGTAACAAATTATTGCATTATAAAAAGTGGTTAAATATACTAGAGTAGATGAGTGTATACAATGAAACAAATTTACACAAACTGAAAATGTGTGAAAAAGAAACACAGTACAGAATGAATATTCAAAAATGGGAGTTTGTTAACTGGTATTGCATTTCCTCCATTCCCTGAGGCATCATCTACTATGAAACTTTGTCAAATCGTGGCATGAAGCCCATTGAGACTTCTGCATCATCTTCACATCAGGCCCTGTAAGCTAGTTAGGAACCAATAAAGCCTTTCCAGAATATAGGTAAGTAAGAAAGTCTAGTCCAATGGCATTGGTGTATATTGTCATTAAAGTCAGGATAAAAAATCTAGGGAAGCATCATTGAAGTCCAACTTACAGTGAAAGACAACACAATTCACATTATGACTTCTAAGTTGAGTCATAGCTATTGAGCAATATTTAACCAGAGAAAAAAGCACAGCAAACTCTTAGAATGACTTGGTCAAATAACACTCTTGGATGTGACATAAAACCAATGGCATGTAGTAGGAACGCACACGTGCTGTCTGGAGTGTCAGCTGTCAATTGGCTTCATCATTGAGTAAAAGCCCTGTAGCAAGACTTGTTCACTGTCCATCCAGAATTTATTTTCTACCTTTGTTCGAGGTAACAGATCACTGCACCAAGGTCTCTGGTCTCTGGGAATTAGTTACAAGTGACCTAAATCAAGCATGACCAGCCCCATTTCCCACTTTCCCAGTCTCCTTGGCTGTTTCAGGAGACCATGAGACCCAGTTCTGGTCAATGAATCATGACAGGAAGTCTGCTGAAGATGCTTTTATGAAAATTCAATAAAATAGGCTTATATTCGGGTTCTTCTCTTCACCTTTCTTACTAACTAAACCGTGGTTGAGCTACCTGGTGCTAAGGAGCCATTTTGCAAATATGAAGCAACCAGCACAAGATAAACACAGAAAGAATTCTAAAGATGACAGCACTGACATTATTGAGCCATTAAATGAATGTCAGTGGCTGCCTACTTCCAGTCCTCCCGTTATAGTACAAAAATAAACCCTCTATGTTTAAAGCCACTGCAACTTGGATTTTTTTATTACTGGTAGTTGAAAGCATTCCTAATGGAAATACTCCACTGATGTGTGGAGTATGAGTCAGCTCTCCACATATTTTCAGTAAACACATGAGGGAAATGTGCCTGATGAATTTTTGTTCTATTTATCACTGAATTTCTTTGCAAGATAGAAATGAATGAGCTACTGGCTTCAAGCTGAGTTTAGCTAGCGGGAAATGGAGAAAAAAATGGAGAAAAAGAATGAGATGCAGGCATTTGTCCCCCCTGGCAACCTGCTAGTGAGTGTCCCTGGGTTGGAGGTATCCCTCAGCGAAACCTACTGCCTCCCAAGGAGCCAACCCACTTACTCAGTTCTCTCCCTCTGGATATTCCCCCTCCCACCCTCACTCCACCCCTGCTCCTTTTGCCTTCAGGCCTTTTGGCAGTAACAGTTCTGCTGTTCTTGGGCACCATTCATTGGGGTGCTTCGTTCCCCACATGTTGGTAAATAGACCCCTCCTAAAATTACCTCATTTTGAGTGTGCATTATATGTTGGTGTGCTAACTCATCAATCAGCATGAAATCAAAGATTAAAAAGAAAACACACACACACACACACACACACTCCTGCATCTGAATGCGACCACATATCACAGTATTCACAAAAACCTGCTGTCAGGCAGTGATCTGGCTCCTGACCCCGGTATATGTAGAGACAAATAGCCAGAAGCGTCAATGGCCTTTTCAGAATACTGTTCAGAGAAATGGACAAGTCAAAGACACTGTTGAACAAAGTATGCTGGCTATTGAGAGAAAGACATTCATATGAGGTTTTGCAGTAAAAGATGAGACACAACATCCCTTTGTGACACAGATAGCCCTCGGCTGTCGATGGCTAGCTCAAGTAGCAGCTCTGTGGTATGTTCAATATCTTGATTGCTCTGAACCTTTGGTGTCTGGATGAGACTATCACCATTTTTCATGCTAAGCATATCAAGAACTTGACTGTATCAAGGATAAGATATCAAGAAGGATCATATCAAGGCTCAATCTTTAAGAATATGACTCCCACATATGAAAATTGTCTTCTTTTGGCAGAGAAATGAATCAATATAAAGGCAACCACTAGAAAAATTAAAAACAGACTATACATCTTCAAATCATCAAGCAAAAATACAAACACATGTGGACATACACAGGCAAATCAAATGAAACAAAAGAGGTATGAAGTAATACACAGATAATAGAGCCCTCTTTGGTGGCACACTGGGTTAAAGTATAGCACCGTGAAGCTAGCCACAGCCGCTTCAGCATGAGTTCAATCTCCAGCCTGGGAGGTGACCCACAAGATGTGGCAAACCTCTGCTATCTCACCTGCTACTCCCCTCAGCAGCGTATTTCAGTAGATCTGCCTGTTCTGCTCTGCTCCCCACTTTGTCTCTGGTGAAATCTCTCAGCCCTACCCCCACCTCCGGCACCTCCGGCCTGTATGCATAAGTAAATAAATCTTTAAAAAAAAAAACAAAAACAGATACCAGAAACACCAAAACAGAAATAATAGCAGAAGAAACCAGAAATATGGCTAATATAGCAATTATATCCATAAATGAGAATAGGATAAATCCATCCTTCTAACAACAAAAAGACTTTCACATCATGAAACAATATCCTATTGTACATTGTATAATAGAGATGCATCTTTACCAACACAACTCAGAAAGGTTAAAAATAAAGCATAAGCCAAGGTATACAGGAAAATCCTGAGATGAGGCTGCAATGTTGCCATCAACTAAGGTTAAATTCAAAATAAAAATGTTCAGTGAATAGAAGGAAATTTGACAGGAGAGCAGTAACTACATTAGAATCTAATTTTCAAAAATCTCTATGCACCAAATAGCTTAGGTTCAAAATCAAAAACAAGATATGATAGTTAAGAATAATAACATGTGGAAAATGCCAGAAGAAACTGGGTGAAACATGAGAGTCTCTTTTAATTGACCCCATCAGGAAGGTGGAGAATTGAATAAATAGGATTGAACTTAAGATGCAAAATCTAGAATAAAATACACATTAACAATATCTCAAAAGAATCATTCATCATATTCAAGTAAGTTCATCCTGGTGATGTAAGTTTGTCCCAAAATGTTAGGGATTCTCTACTAAAGTTGACCGTATTAATAGCTCAAAGGAAAACTATGTAGTATCTTAATATTTAAAAGACATTTGAGTAATATCCTGCATCTATTCCTGCTTAAAAGAAAACGATAACAGAACAAGAACAGACTGAGAGTTACTTAACACAGTTTCATTTGTACAGATATATATTTCTTAAAAAGCTACAAAACTGGCCCTCCCTGGTTGCACAACAGGTTAGGACGCAGCCCTGCAAATTGGCTGCATCTGCTTCAGTGCGAGTTTGATCCCCGGCCCTGGAGGTGACCACATGGCGCGGCAGACCTCTTCTGGCCGGCCTGCTGCTTCCCTCAGCAGTGTACTTCGGCAATCTGCCTGTTCTGCTCCCCACTCTGTCTCTGGTGAATTCTCTCGCCGCCTCTGCACCTCTGCCCTGTACCCCAGTTCTGTATGTATAAATAAATAAAATCTTTAAAAAAAAAAAAAAAAAGCGGCCCTCCCTGGTGGCACAGCGGGTTAAAGCCCTGCACTGAGAATCTAAAGCCACTTCAGTCTGAGTTCGATTCCTGCCTGCCCCGGAGGTGACCACATGGTGTGGCAGACCTCTCCTGGCCCGCCCGCTGCTCCCCTCAGCAGTGTGCTTCGTCGATCTGCCTGTTCTGTTCCCCACTCTGTCTCTGGTGAAGCCTCTCACCACCCCTGAGCCTCTGGCCTGTACCCCAGTTCTGTATGTACAAATAAATAAATTAAAAAAAAAAAAAAGATGTAAAACCAGTGTCATGCTTAAGAGTGAAATGGGAACTACAGCCCATCAAGGTTAAGAGCAAGGGCAAGACTGACCACCATCATTACAATCATTGGGTCAAACCAATGTAATTAGACAAAGAAGAGAAATGAGATGCAAATATTGGAAAGAGGAAGCAAAATTATGCATAGATGATATGAAAGAAAAATGCACAACCACCAGAGACAAGGAGAGAATTCAGGATAATGGCAATTTCCAAGATTAATATATAAAACCTGTACACTGAAAAACAAACAACAGCACAGAACACATGACAGAAAAATTGCTGTTACAATGACTATCAAAAATATAAAATCCTCAGGGGAAAAAAAAGAAGAAACACTAATATGAAAATAATAGTAAGGTCACTCATGGGGCTCTCTATACCCCAGTTTTGAGTTTACTCAAAATTATTCTAATGCAAATACTCAGGCTTATATTTTGTTTTCCAGATAGAAAACTTGTCAAAAACATATATGAAACTGAAACGGGGAAATAAATACAAGTCAGGGGAGCCCAAAGAAGAAAAGTAAGAGATAGACCCAACAGGTGATAAAACATTAAAATTATACTTCGTAAAACAATTTGGTACCCAGAGATGAAACAGAGAAATCATTGGACCAGAACAGAAAACCAGAAATGAACCCGGTATACATGAGAATTAAATTTCTGCTTAGGTGACATTTTAAATTAATAGAGAAAGGTGATAGGAAAATTAGCTACTACTAGGCAAAAAGAAAAACAAAAACAAAAACAAAACTGGAGCCCTAGTACATTCCTTAAGTAAAAGTAAATTCCAAATAGATAAAGGATTTATATGCTAAAAAAGAAAACTTAAGATTCTAGAAAAAAGAATCAATGAATTTATAATATTCTGGTGAGGGATGTTTATATAAAACTCAGGATCTCCAAAGGTAAATAGTTTAAAAATTTGACTACCTAAACATTCAAAACTCTGGTATGGCAAAACATACTATAAACCAGGTGAAAAACAAAGTAAGAATAGGTGTGACAGGTGTTCTTTATTCTCAAAGACTTAAAATAACCCAATACAAAATCAGAATGTAAAAGATCAGTTTAGATTGGAGTGCAAATGGTTTAGGAAAGTCTCAACTTCACACATAGCTAGAGAAATGCCAGTTAAAACAGTAAGATTTCTTTTGTTTCCCTTATCAGATTGGCAGAGAAAGCACCCACTGTCAGGGATGGTGCTGGGAAACAGGCATGCTCAGACACTCTTGGCTAAGGGTAAAATTTTGGCACAGCTTTGGAAAAAGTGATTTGGCAACATTTGTCAAAATCCTTTGACCCAGAACTCAACAGCTCAGATTTTTTTTTTTAACAGCTCAGATTTTTAATCCTCTCAAAAAGTCCCAGTTTAGATAAAAACATTCAAGGAATGTGCTTTAAGACAGCCCCCTTTCCTAGGATTCGCTTTCCAAGGCCTTGATGTAGGGGATCTTAAACTTGAATGTGCATTAGGATCAGTGGAGGACTTGGTAAAGTGCAAGTATTCTCTGGGGTCTCAGTTCCTAGTCTGGGGAGAATTCAAGAGTCTGCACGGTCTGCCAAGGTCTGGGCGATACTGATGCTACTGGCCTGAGAATTTGTTGAGGGGACTAGGGTGGGTGGAAGGGGTAGGTGCCTGGAGAGGGGAGTTCCATTTAGTGGTAGGTGGTAAGAAGCAGGATGCCCCTTAGGAGATCAGGAGATCAGGAAAGAGGAGAAAGTAATGTTGGAGGTGTCTAGACAACAATGTTTCCACCTCTTGAGCAGACAGGACTCTAGTTCCTATGTCCATAACTAAAGTTTCCACCCCACAACCAAGGGTGGCTCAGAAATAGCATACCACCAAGCTCTGCGAGTCCCCTCCTACTCAGAGGAATCTGCAGGCAACATGGGCTGAAAATCAGAGAGCCAGGCCACCCTGGACAGGGGAAAGCATCCCATTCCTTAGATAAGGCTTGGAGGTAGCACACAGACTAGTATCCCTGCTGACTGATGTTAAAGTTTTCATGAGGATGTAGCTGCTTTGATCTTGACTTTGAAAAATAACATCTTTTCAACAAATGGCTTTCAGAAAACCAGATATTCACATGCAAAAGAATGAAGTTGGACTCAAGAGTTTGCACTATATAGAAAATTCAAAGACCTAAGTGTAAGTAAGATGCAAAATAACATAAAGCTTCTTGCACCTAAAAATCATGGTGGAGTCAAATTCTTACCCCTTACACCAATTTAGATGGAGAAACGTATAGAGCGGAACATAATCTGTGAGTCCCAGGTCTTTCTCATTGGTCAGGCTTACTGGTAGAAGACCGAAAACAATTAAATCCCTTTCACAATTATGGTGTTGACTGTCATGCCATCCTCTCCCTCCTCCTATCAAAGTGAAACTTAGAATAAAATAAACAGATCTTAAGTACAGAACCTGGGTTTTACATATAGATATACCTTTCCAGTCACTGTCTAAATCAAGATTTAGAGTACCTCTAGTACCCAGAAGACTTTTTTGTAGCTCTTCCCAGTTAATACTTTAGAAAGTAGTGTTCTCTACGACTGAACTTTGTTTTAAAACTACAAGCAAATACATGAAATCATAGCTATGCTTCTTTTGTGCATGGTATCTTATAAAGTTTTTAAGATTTATTCCTGTCAACATAAATGGCAGTAGTTTGTTCTTCTTCATTGCTGTGTAATAGTCCGTTGCAAGATAAACCACAGTTTGTTTTTCAGACATCTATTAGACATTCGGGCTGTGTCCAAATTTAGGCTGCTATGAATAAAGGTGCTTTAAAGATTGTGCCTTTGGGACCCTCCCTGGTGGCGCAGAGGGTTAAAGCACAGCACTAAGAAGCTAAAGCCACTTCAGCATGAGTTTGATCCCCACCCAGAAGGTGACCCACATGGCACAGCAGAGCTCTCCCGACCCGCCCGCTGCTCCCCTCAGCAGTGTACTTCGCTGATCTGCCTGTGCTGCTCCCCACTCTGTCTCTGGTGAATTTGTACCTCTGGCCTGTACCCCAGCACTGTATGCATAAATAAATAATCTTTTTTTTTTTTAAAAAAAGTGCCCTTTGGTGGACATAAGCTCATTTCTCTTGGGTACTTCTTGAGAAACAGAATTACAAGATCAGAGAGTTACCTATGTCTAGGCTTAGTAGGTTACCACCAAATTATTTTCTGAGCTGATTGTATCAATTCACCCTCCGTCAACAATATTAAAGTCTGGTTAGACTCACTCTTGCTGCATGAGGTAGTTAATCCTTTCAGTGTTTCTGATGGGAAAGTATCACTAACTTTTAATTCTCTTAAATACTGATTTAAAATATAACAACTTTTAAAAACATACATATGCAATAACTTTTAATTTATATAAAATGGGTGGTCTACGCTGCTGAATTTTTGAGAAATTTGTTAGCCTCTTCTAAGTATTCAAATACTCCCTGAGGGGGTGTGGGTGTATTCCTGCCTCTGTTCTGTGCCCTAGGCACAAATGGATGCTGCCCCAGACCCCACCCTCCTTGCCTTGGAACAGACCCTTCATTTCCCCATGAACAGGAAGAGCTTAGTAGGGATCCCAGAGGGAGATGTTTCCCATCACCAGCAACATCTGGGGAACATCTGGTGAGCCCATTCTAGGACAGGGAGATGCTATTTTTCTGGAGAAAATACAGCACTTACTTGATTCTTTTTGTTCTACATTTCCCTTATCCTCTCCTCTTCCTATCCCCCAAATTCCATTATACATTAAGGTCCCTGATCTAAGCTCCCACTCCAGCCCTTGCCAACTCTTCTCTATCTTGTCTGGTACCCCCCAACATATTACCCAGTAGGATGCAAACCTAGGCAGCCCAAGAGACCTTCATTAACACTGGTACTCAATCCCCACCCCCACCCCAAGTTCCCAAACAGCTGACAGTGACTTCTGAAAGTGAACTCAAGGAATGCTGAAGATGTTAGAGAGTTGTCTGATCCAATGCTTCCATTTTACAAACTAGAAGACTGAAAGAGAGAGAGAAAGAGACAAACAGACAGGAACTCCACTTTTGGTCACAACGCATAAAGACCCCTTTCTCCTGGGAAAGTGGCCAGGGGATTAGAAGCAGAAGGAAACAGAAGGCAATGGAAGAAAGGGATTCCTTGGGAACATTAATATCAGCAAGGGGCAGGGCAGGCATACACATAGGAAGCACAGCAGAGTGTTTCAGGGGGGTAGTGGTGGGTGGCCACCTGCTATCTCTGCCCTAAAAGCTGAGTCACCTCTACCAACTGACACTCCAGTTCCGGGAACCTTTAAATTCCGCCCCCCCAACCCACCCCAGTTGTCTCAACTACACCCGTGGCTTCCATGTACCTGTCACAGGCTGATGATCCTTCCTTCTCTGCTTCCAGTGTGGACTCTCCTGGAGTTCCTGTTCCCCTGTACAAATTTATGAAGTATTTGATTTATTTACCAAGTTTTTCCTGGTCAATAATAGACTGCTCTCCCCTCACTGACAAGCCACACAATTTAAGCAGGTGCTAGGCAGGTGCGGGCTAGAGATCAGCATCTTTGGAAGTCTGAACCAGGATGAGCACCTCACATTTGGAGAACTGCCTGCTAGTAAGTAAGGCCTGAGTGCAGTTCTCCGGGCCTGGGGTGGGAGCACCCAGGGAGGCTGGAAAAAGCATAAGGAAACATAGAACACAACACCTCCTGTAAATTAAAACAATATGCAGCCATGCCAATGTTACATACACAGTGTACAAATAAAAAGATGTGCACATATTAAAAACATTAATTGGAGCAGCAGGAAAGGGAGTGGGGGGTGGGAACATCAAGAGAGAGGGGTGAATTTGCAAAAATAAGATTATTAGGTCTTCAAGTGTACCAAGGGGTTGAGGCTTCAATCTGAGGGTACAGGGAGGCCCTGGGCTCTACTCAGACACCTCCTGCAGTAAGCCCCCCTAGGTACATACACATTCACGGCATGCTGTAAGGACAGGCGCTGTAGCTCCCCCTAACCTGCTGTCTTCTAGGTTCTTTGCTGGGAACGATAAGGGGAGACAATGAGGCCCTACCTGGCCCCGCCCTACCTGGCCCCATCTACACACACTCAAGTAGCCAGAGAAGGGCTCTTACCATCTACCCCACCCTAGATCTCTGGGCCAACCAAGTAGGGCAGGTCACCTCCCCCCCCCCATCCCCACTCCCCACTAGGAAGAAGGTACAAAGGAATCCTAAGGCTGGTCTAGTCACTGACCGCATTCAACAAGGACAGTCAGGGAGGAACCCAGAATGCAGCAGGAGGGCTGGGGAGGGGGGAGGGTTAGGCTTCCGTGAAGGCTCCCTGGAGGAGGCGGTGCTAGCCGAGTTTTTAAAGGTGATGGAATTCTGGTAAGCGGTGAGAGGGCTCAGCAGCATCCCAGGCTAGAGGAAGGCTGCAGCAAAGGTGAGGGTCGACAAGCTCCCGAGACGTGTACTGAGTAGGTGGGGACCTGCGGCTCCAGGAGGAGCAGAACCGGTGGGCTGCGGCCGTCGGGACTCGCTGCGGGGCCTGCACCGGCTGCCCAATGCCCAGTAGTCCTGGGTGAGCTGGCCCCAGGCACAAAGGCCTCGGCGGGCAACTGGAAAGGCCCGGCAACTGGAAAGGCAGTGGGCCGTTTGGAGTGGCCACGGTCGAACCGAGAAGAAACCTGTCTTTGGATTTTTAAAATAATCTTTACAAGGGAGGGGTGAGGTGGGGTGGAGGCAGGGGGCAGCTGGGGTCAAGAACCCCTAGCCCCGGCCCGTGGGCAGAGGCGAAGGTCGGGCGCCAGGATGACCTCTCCCTGCCACCATCCCTCACCCCCTCGGTTCGTCTCCGTGGTACTTCACTTTCCTGGCGCCTCCGGAGGAGGGGCGAGGGGGCGGAGGAGAGAATGTTCAGAGGGATTATGGTAAACTGCCCGGGCCGGGTGGGGTAAACGCGCTCTGGGGGCCTCGGCTCGGCCGCCTTCTCACCCGCGGCTCTGCCGACGCCCCGCACTGTTCCCGGCCTCAGTCTACCCATCTGGCAACTGGGGCCGTGAGGCGAGGCCGGACTTTTCCCGAGAGCAAGCTCGCCGGCCGGTGCGTCGGCGAC